AATCGAACCCCGGTCTTCCGCGTGACAGGCGGAGATACTGTCCACTATACTAACGAGGAAACAGCTGGTAATTTAAGGCGAGATATGGGACTTTTACTTTGATTGATGAGGTTCAGTACGTTTGAAAGATAGTAGAAACTATATAAATGTCCCATTTCCGGTTTAACTTTCCAGTTGTTTCCTCGTTAGTATAGTGGACAGTATCTCCGCCTGTCGTAACTGCGGGGCTAGTCAAGCGAGTCAAATGTCAGAAATATGTTTTGTCCAGCTTTTTTAATGTTTGTTTACATTGAGGCGGATAGTAGTTTCCAGATTGTGAGGTTCTCACCGTTCATCTTGTGAAATGCGTTCCTGTCGCTCAAGTACGTACTGCTGCTTTCTTAAAGCTAGTACACTCATGTTTCTTTCGCCTTTTACTAAAGTTCCGTGGAGAAGAACACAATGAGTATAACTTAATTTTTTGATGCCCTGCTTAATTATGGGGCTCCTCAATCCGGTTTTAATATCATTTTTGTGACAGTGGTTTTGTGTTTCAATTCAAATTCAATTCAATTCAATTCAATTCGTTTGTATGGGAGATCAATAGTCCTGTGTTCCGTTTTAGGCGCATAGCCGTTTCGTCCGTATTTTATTTTGCTCTTTTTATCCCAACACAATAAAGAAACAAGTTATGCTATGTTTTCAACAGTGTCTGTCAAAATAAGCTCATCACTCTGTTTTAGTGTTTGTGTTAGACAAGACATTGAGACAACATTGTTTTCCTATAGTTCTACCTAAACATGTTTTGAAAATCAAAGCCAAATTTTGTATGTGCTTTATATGTTACTGCATATGTTTTAATCAGTGAGTGATTATCCTGTGTGTACAGTGAAGTTGAGCCAATCATTAACTGAAATTAAAACAACAAAAACACACTTTAAATAAGATAAACTGAAATAAAATATAAATATAAAAACATATTTTATTTCAGCTAGTTGCCAATGCCAAGGCAACATTTAAAATAAATAAAAAGGAAAGAAAGTTCATCTCTTGGTTTGAGATAATGTATCTGAGGCAGGTTCACCTATTACCCTTTTAAATATTGGCCTGCTAAAATGTTTCAGAGCTTCAAATGCTTCAAAAAACATAATAGAAAATCTGAAAAGTTATGCTTCTCTTTGTCAAATTATTTATTACTTTAGTATCTTTTTTCTTTATAATGTCTACATCGACTACATCTTTGTTTTCATCCTTGCTCCTTGTGTTTATGGACTTTCATGCTTTTTTTAAATCAATTTTTCTTTTTCTTTCTTTTCTTCTTCTTCTTCTTCTTTTTTTTTAATGTAAACTCTGTGTTTGTCTCAATGGAAGTGTCTTACATTGTTGGTTGTTCCCTGTCTTGTTATGTACATTAAGCAAAAATAAATAAATAAAACTATTGGCCTGTAGAGGGCAGTGCGTGTTAGAAAACAGAACAAAGTCAGAAATTCCAGATGCTGTGATAAACAAACAAACTCATAAGAACAAAAAATAATGTAGACGTCAACAAAATGCGTGTATTTGTGGCCTTTTGTGGCCATGGCTCATTTCTATTTTACGTTTTTTTTAATATATCATATTGTTTATTATTGTATCGTTTTATAATTGATCATTATATTTTTTTACTGTATAGTAAAATAACTTATAAGTAATGTATTTTTAATGTGCCGTTATATATTTTCCCTCTTTTTATTAATGTTATACATTTTATGGAGACTGTCAGTAATCATTGTAATCATTCAGTACCAATAGCATCACATATCATCAATGTCATGTACGATAATAATGATAATGATAGTAGACTTCAGGAGAATCCCCCCTGCACTCCCCCCACTCACCATCTGTGGCTGCAGTGGAGTCATTCAGGAGTCTGGGCACAACCATCTCTCAGGACCTGAACAGGACCACTCACATTGACTCCATTGTGAAAAAGGCCCAGCAGAGGTTGTACTTCCTTCGTCAGCTGAAAAAGTTCAACCTGCCACAGGCACAGATGACACAGTTTTACTCCGCTATTATTGAGTCGGTTCTGTGCTCTTCTATAACTGTCTGGTTTGGGTCAGCCAACAAATCAGATATAAGAAGACTGCAACGGACTGTTAGGACAGCAGAAAGAATCATTGGTGTGCACCTGCCCAGTCTTCAGGACTTGTACAACTCCAGAGTGAAGAAACGGGCAGGTAACATCATCAAAGACCCCTCTCACCCCGGACACAACCTGTTTGCACTTCTCCCTTCAGGCAGACGCTACAGATCTCTGTGCACTAGAACATCTAGGCATAAAAACAGTTTTTCCCCCATGCCATCTCCAGCTTAAACAGCTAACATATGAATCATTACCTGCGTTCTGTAATTCATTTCCGTAATTCATTCTACATCCTTAATTATTGCCTCTTTCTCAAGTATTATGTAAATACATATGGATATCTCTTATTTATACAGTTATATATAGAGTACAAATGCACAAATCTGTACATAAATCTACTGTTCCAGATTCATACACATTATTTATTGTTAAGTTTTACTATTTTAAATGGGGTTTTTTTTTCTCCTGTTCTCATGTCAGATATGTATGTATGTATGCATGTATGTATGTACCAGGAGCACCTTAAAAAAAAACACAACAAATTCCTC